ATCACATCAGCCCATCCCATTAAATCCGGCAGGGAAAGTACGCTATGCTTTCCAATGGCCAAGGACTCACATTTGGTGAGTCCCAGGAGGTGGGCCTTCTCTGCTGTGGCTCCCTCCTTGTGGAACATTCTCCCCCCTGAAGGGCTTGCCCCTTTCCTGCTGTTGTTTAGGAAGTCCGTCAAGACCTGGTTGTGTCATCAGCCCTGGGGGTCTTTAGGAACCAGAGACCTTCTTAGATGGCTCCACTGTAATTGATATTCTGCTCTCTCCATGGGGTTTGTATACAGTATTTTAAAATCTATTTTTTAAAATGTGTAACGTATTTATTCTAATAATAACTCTATCTTTTTATAATGCCTGTTTTTATTCACTTGTTATTTTATTTTAATTGTTGTATGCTGCCCAGAGTTGCTTTGTGAGATGGGCGGCTATATAAATGTGATGAATGAATGAATGAAACTTTCCTCCTCAGCATGCCTATATATGTTTGCACACAGCCGGGATTAGGAACCAGACTGAGATATGACAACTAAAAGAAGATGAGATGTCCTTCTTTCCTCATGATATGGACATCAAAGTAGGCTACTTTTCATTTTATTCCTGAGCAAACATGTCAGTGCTGTTATGCCTCATTGGGTCTTTGGGCACAGAGCAAAAGTATGGCATCAGAAAAACTGAGATGTAAAGCTTTGAAAAAAGATTAAAAGCACTCTTACTAAGTTGTGCACATTTCTCCTTAACAAGGGTAGACCATTCTTACACAAAAGCTAATAAGTAAAGCACCTTAACATAATTGGTAGTTTAACATTTAGGATACAATAATTAGTACATTAGTACCTGTTTGAGATCCTGAAATCACTCCCCCCAAACTAACTTCTCTCTTTTACTCCATGATACTTACGAGTGATGTGTAGACCAAAGCTACTACTGCAGCAGCAACTTCAATTATGAAGATGATCAGGATAATGGAAAAGAACTAGGAAGAGAGACAGTACAATAATAAGCTTGTTTATTGTACAAAGTATTAATACAAAAATGAGGCATTGGATGCACTCGGCCATGTGTGTTCTACAGCCATCTTTCCACCTTTGGAAATATAGCTGCTTATAAGAAGCGTTCTCAATTTGAAAGACTATTAAGAGCAGATTTTAATGGGAATTAGCTTGGGGTTTCTCATATGAAACTCAAGTTCCCTCTTCATATCCCTCCTTCTGCTTTCACTGCATCTTCTTGCATGGATTCCTAGATTTTTCAGAAGAACTTTTTTTCCAGCCTAAACTAAAATATCCATGTTATGGCTTGGTAATGTTGTTTGAACCAGACCTTATTTCCTTGTTAAGTTATCTAACAGGGAAATAAAAATCAGTATTTATTAAGGGTAGCTGGAATTTGAACAGTTTCTAAAATTAAATAGCAATTTGGTTTCATGACACCAAACAGGGTAGAAAATATAATCATAAATAAGGAAACAATGTATTCTACAAATATTGACTTATTTATAAAAATTAAGGACTCAGGAAATGAACTTTCCAAATAAGAAATCTGTTACTATCCAAAAAAGAGACATGAGAAATTCTATCCCCATATATCTGGACTAATGACTTAGGATCTCTTCCTTCAAAAAATGTGGCCTTGTTGAATAGCTTTCAACAATGCATTCATTGTGCGAGATTTCATTGCATACTTTACTATCAACAGACACTTTTATTAAGCAATAGAGCAAACAATGAACATGCTCTGCAGAATTTACCGTGATCAGAAGGCACTTGCTCTCTTTCTGAGCTCCACAGCATCCTAGGAAACCCAGCAGGAACAGAACAGCTCCAAGGGCAATGAGGAGGTAGCCAACATTCACAAATTGGAAGACACTGGTGGATATAGGACCAAATATCTGGAGGAAGGTTTTACTGTCAACACTGACCCAGATCCCGATGCCCAGCAGTGTACATCCTCCAAGCTAGACGAAAAAATAAGAAATGCATTTTCAATCATAGATACTGGGGATATATATAAAAACATCCATAAATCCAGGACTATTCTCCTTTAGCTCTGCGCTTGTATCAGATACGATCTACCATATTGAAAAGACTTCACATGACTATCCTATGGCCTTCAGACAAATACTTAGAGCAGTGTTTCTCAACCTTGGCAACTTGAAGAGGTATGGACTTCAATTCCCAGAATTCCACAGCCAGCCATGCTGGCTGGGGAATTCTGGAAGTTGAAGGCCATAACTCTTCAAGTTGCCAAGGTTGAGAAACATTGACTTAGAGGCTTCAGTTATCCACCTCCAGCAAATCTGCAGTCAGACAAGTTTATCAAGTTCCTACTGGTCATTGGATATAACTGGTACAGTTAATTTAGCAAGAATAATTATTATTCACCAGAAACAACTTTTTTTAATTAGGCATTTCTCATATCACAAAAGGTGATATGAGAAAGATATGATGGCAAGCCAGCCATCATCAAAATATCACCTTAGTCCTAAGACTACAAATTTGCTATTTATCGCACAATAAATAATTTTAAGAACTGATCTTATACTCTAGTTCCCCACATATAGTTGAACTTGTGTGTAACTATAACCACAGCCCTACAGCTTGACAACTGCATTCTAGACTGTATTTTGACTTAATCCTTATTACAACTACATTTATCCCTTAAAACGTTTTGCAATATTTCTTGACCACCTTTTATGACTATGTGCTTGCTATAGCATTTATATCCTATAATATAAAAAGTAAATTAGTTTTTAAAAGATTTTAAAAAGTCAAAAGGTAACATTTATTAAATTAGAATATAAACTTAATATTTAAGCTAGGTCTATGACTGCATACTCTAGAATCATGATTTATTTCCATTTCCTACAAACTGGAGATACTTCACTATTTGCGATTCTATCAAAAAATAACTAAGACTCAAACATGTATGCTTTAACATAGTTATATTGAATGCAATTTCAGCACTAAATATTATCAATCCTGTATGATTACTTTAAATTCATTTCTATTTAAAGAAGTTGTATAGATTTAACCACTGTACAGAAGATGGAGTTTCAGCAGGTATAGTGCCAAATCTTACTCTTCTACATTATCCTAAAATACATAGATGCTCCATCTTCCTCTGACCCTGATCAATCTATTTCTCTTTCCCCCAAACTAATTTGACAGTCCTTCAATATTCAGCAAGTAGCAATGCTACTGTACTAACACAGGAAGAATCCCTGCAAATTTCCCACCGCTCTCTTTAAACAAGGAAGTGTTCTCAGAAACTACCAAGCATTTCAACCTCGTAAATGTTCCTTTTTAAGTGGACAATGCGTGACATAATTCAGAAACATTCCTAAAGAGGTCAAAGCAATTGTCCTTGAACGCAGGTGCCAGTTTTGTTTGCTTTCAGATAAAAGGGAAAGGCATGCATTACCACAACCCGTACCTAAGTATTGGTGCCAGGCTGAATACACGAGGTCTCTGGGATGGGAGAAGAGGTCGCTTCCCCCTCAAAGAAGCCAATGTCACAATTCCCAGATTTGTAGCATAGATTCAGAGAACCCAAGTTACTAAAACAAGGTATGTTTCTGTCAGATTCATTTGGCCTCTCAGAGTTACTATTTAATAAAACAGCATGACCTAATACACCAACTGCTGAGAGGGTTGTACACACAGCTTCTCTGGGGAAAAAGTGAGTGCTGCCCTATAAAAATAATTCAGAAATCCAGGATTTTAGGACATTTGATCAGGCAATATTACATCTTCCTAAAAAACAAAGGGCAAAGCAAGAAGCGTTCACTATTGTTCTAAATCAGTATTTTTAAGTGTAGTTTTTGTTTCTCTAATACTTTACATGTCCATCCTTATAAAAGCCCTATTGCAAGGAGCTGACCTTCATTAGAAAGTATGTAAATAATACCAGTGATCCTAATTTTTCTGGGGAGAATTACACTGGTGTTTGGAAACCCTGCATTGTAGATTAATGTTATTTCACTTTTTCTGCAGACTGCTTTTGCATGGGATGTGTGTAAAGATGACTGTAGTAGCATATTTCTTCAGGAATCTCTCTATTGGGGGACTGCATGACAATCTGGGAGGGGATGAAACAAAGGGATGAATCTACTCCCTGTCTCTGGTATTTTTCTTCTTCTCACTTTTCAGTATCTTTTCTTCTCATTCTTTCTGTTCCTGACACCCTCCTCCCCTGCTTCCAAAGAAAAGGCAGATTGCCAAAAGGCAGAGGTCTAATTTAACTGTTTTCAGAAAACATCTAAAATTAGAACTAGGGTGTAGGGCCACAGATTGCTCACTTTTAAGATAAAGACAAGGAAAAGAGACACAGGGAGAAGGAACTGCATTTTGGGGAGTGGGAGCACAAAATGAGTGCCACGTTTTGAACAATGTCACGGAATAAGAGATTAAGCAATAAAGCATGAGCAGGCATTTACAGAAAATGCAAATGTGTTGCAGCTGCATATGTGAGACATGCAAATGACAGTGGCATACATACTGCAAGGTTTCAAAGGGGTGCTTTGATTCAACAAAGGTTTAGTCAAGCCAACCCATCATAGTAAGTTGAAGGGGAGACCCACTTCAGAGTAACACATCAGATCAGGGGGTTGTGAAATGCTTCATAGCCTTTCTAGCTATTAAGAGGCTCTTTGGCTGCTTCAGGGATCATTAAAGACAATATAAAATTTCACTTGAACACTAAAGGGACATTACTTCATGCCATGACTCTCTGATCAATCTCCATCCCTATCAGAGTTCTTTTGGGAAGACAAGGCCAACGTTGATTTGTGCCTTTGTTCGCTTTCTCAAATTCTGTGCCGTGTCCAGCCACAAGCCTTAACTTTTTCTCTTGTACACACACGTCTTTGCAGCTCCTGCCAACCCAACTGGGAGCGAAAGCCAGTTCTCCGAATGAGGGTTCAAGGCAGACCAGTCTGTGAGGGTTTGATCCAAGAATGCCTACTTCTAAATTATCTGTCTCTAGAACAGTTTTGAGTCTCTCGAAAATGGGTGAATGGGATGCAAACTAACATAGGCACTGGCCTAACATTTACTGTTTTTTAGAATAGGGGATGTCAGCTTACTTCTTTGTAGCCTGTCTGTCTCTGGGACATTGTATCTCATTGTGCCAGTTCACATTGGTGAGCTAATTAACCTTGAGAACTGCCAGCAAGCCACAACCTTAACACAACAGGGTCCTGAATAAAACCGAGAACAGAATCCAGAATTCCCAAGTGTCCACATATAAAACCATATGAATAACTATGAACCAAAGTTTCACTACTGGGAGTGCACAGTATACAAACAAACAAAATAAATAATAACTAATGCACATCCGTCAGACCAGTTAGAGTCTAGTTTGATATACAGATGTTATATCTGTATAACTTTCAAAAATTATCATACACTTTAAAAGGAGAAGCCTCTTAAGGATTACATTTGTGGGTTATCTGCTTATTTTCAGGCACCTACATTGCTCTTGCGGTTGAATAGCAGAATGTATTACACCTCAAGAGTCGCTCCATTCCAGGCAGGTATAAAATCTTTCATTAGGGGATGCAGACTCTACATTAAAGTTCCCTTATAAATATTCTCCATAAGAGAAAGCATTCCAGAAATCAGCAAAGTTATCCAGAATATAGTAAATGCATCTGTCTGAGGCTTTGAGCACAAACATTAATTTATTACATTTATATCCTGAGTTTCCTGTAGGTGGTCGAGACAGCATATATAGTATTCCTACAGCACAGGTGTAATAGCTTCATGCACTGCAAAACCATAATATGATTTGATTTATCCCAATCTGTTTTCCCCAGCCACTGCAGTTTGTAAATAATGAATTATACACTCAGTGTTATGTGAAAACCAGGCAATAATGGTTTGGTTAACAAACTATGGCTAAACAAAACCATTGCTTATTATAATGTGTGAACCCGCTGATGCCCCAAATCTCCTTGCTGAAAGGAAATTGAACCAAGGTTTCCCAGGTCAGAGTCCAATAGTCTAACCACTACTGCATAGAAATATACATATATAGACTGAGTGTATATATCACACTAAACTATGGCTTGTCATAGTGGCCTGGTTCACACATAACCCTAAGCCCTAAATCACAATTTACAAGCCACATATTTTATTTATGTGTTTCATTTATTTTTATCATAATTTAATTGTTGTGAGATGCTCAAAGTTGTTGAAAGTTGGGCAGCATACAAGTTTAATAAATTATTATTATTACTGAACTATGCCTTAATGTGATCGGCATGGCTTTGGTGTAGTGCAATGTGTGAAGCCAGTCACAGACTACCACATATGATCATATCATCACTGATGCTACGTGGACATGTATCAGGCAGGCATAGCCAGGACATGCAGTCCTCAAAAGGTTTTCCACACATTAATTTATATTGTTTATCGTTAGTGCATGTGCAGAAGCCAAGTGTGGTGTAGTGGTTAAGGTGTTGGGCAAGATTAGATAGAATACCAAATAAAAATATGATGTAACTTTTTCCCTTATTTGCATTTTGATTTCCATAGCCTAATCAGTTTCCCAGTAAGCAGCTGGGAGGGGAGGAAGAGGAGAAAGGAGAGGACACCCAAACATTAGCCCACAACTGCATTCCTTCCTTTCAGCATAACATATGTAAGCACGACTTGCTTACTGTATGTAACCCTTTTCTGGAATGTAGGAGGGGGCTTAACACCTATCATTTTACGCAGGCCTTTTAGAGTTTCACACTACTGTTTTTAAATGCTCATATAAGCATTTTGCAAATGGGCAGCATATACATCTGTAGAATTAAGTAACTAAATCAACCTGCAATCCCAGGGCCAGCCATGCTCCCTAACTCTTTTCACCCTCAAGAACCTTTTTTTTTTTACTACTACTGCTGAAAATCGGTGGTACCATTTGAGGCTCAGTACTTTACCATTTGAGGCAAGAATACTGTAATGTAGTTCCTAAAAATAGCTTAATCATGTTTCTAACTGCCTTCCCTTCAAAACATCCTGTAAAAGGCCAAGAAAACTTTAAACATGTCACCCATCCATGTAATACAATTCCTGTCCTTCCAAAGAAGGTCAGTGGTGACTCCTGGCCTCTACAAGGTAGCACTCCCGTTACGCTTCCTTAGTCTTTGTGATCTCATTGCCCTCTACTGTATATCTCTGGGCCACCTCACAGAGTTTACTTCAAATACAGCCACATGATGTTTAGCAAGAGCTGCATGAGCAATTGCTCTTTTCTCCAGCAAGCTTTCAAGCTGGGCGTATGCTAAAGGAATCGGTTCAAGTTGACATTCAAGACTTCCTTGAGAGCATCAGCCAGGCATGGAGAAAAATGGTTGTGCTGCTTGTTGAAATAATATTGACAGAGCAAATATGAAATCAAAAACTGACTCAGTTTGTCCAGAGAAACATGAATAGATTTTAATTACTACCTTTGTCTTGCGCCATAATTGTCATCCAGTTACCCATTGCCAGTCTGAGGGCTTGGCCTTTCTTTGCAGGAAAGCACACCTCCTCAGAAAGACTAATACAGCCAACAAACTACCACTTCTAACTGTTTTACAGGTACGGCAGCTCTAGAAAACAGCTGGAGTCACAGAAAAAGTTCTCTGCAAGCCAACCCTACAATTAAATGACTGTTCCATGTTATTTGGCATTAGTTTAATCTGTGAGCCGACATTACTACAACCAATGTATGCAGGCAAACTTCAGCTTCACTGAATATACTATGCAAGTCACTAGAAGCCACAACATACTGATATAAAGAGGCCAGCAGATCATCTAATATAGCTTCTAGAGCTGTTTACTATGAAATTATGGGCCAAGTAGACAAATCAATAGTAGAATCATGGCTTAGGGAAAAGAAGTTTGGACACTGACCCTTCCATATGTGCTTTTCCAAGGACTGTCACCAACCTGCCCCCCAGCAAGCTGCTATTTGCTAACCAGGGATTATACTTACATTGTAGCAGTGACCATCTACTACTACCTCCTATCTTATTGTACCCAATGATTATTCACATGCTGCATTTTTGGCAAGCACACTTGTTTCTATCAAAAACATATGTTCACAGTTAAATCCTTCATATCTGAATGGTAGAATTGAGTTGGCAAAGGCTACTACAGCATGTGATCACTAGAGATTAGTTCTAAGATAAAAACACACCTCACTGAAAACATGCTAATAATGTAGACTAACAATACCTGGCTGATAAGCTATTATAAGACTGAATTCGATTGGTCTACTCTGTCCTTCATTTGAGTTCTAAATATGTTTACTCAGACTTGCTTTAATTTAGGGTTTCTGCATAACCTATGTTTTGTTTCATGTCTATTAAACATACAGGCAAGGGGCTAAAAGAAGGTGAAAAATGTTCCCTCATCCACTCATTCTTTTACAAGAATGCAAAGCACCTCACTGCTTGTTTACAGAAAAATGAGGTAAGTACTCACAAATATGGCCAGGTTAAACAAAATCATCATGACCTTCAGGAATGTAAAGCAGCTCATTTTGATAGCTGTAGAAAAAGAAATGAAGTTAACAAACAGCAAGTCAAGAAACTTTTAGAATGCTAAGCCCAACTCATATCCAAGAATTTGGACACAAATTTCAACTTATGGTCTGGTCATACAAAATCTCACTGTGAAGAGTTTCTTTGAGGGTGAAAGCCTGTTCTGAATTATATTCTTATGTGGAGATTGTTGGGCAATATTCTGATAAGAGTAATGTATTGATCCAAAAGCAGGGACAAGTGTTGGCCTAAAAGCCCAATGTCCCATTAACTCGCATCTCTTCCAGCTGGAGCCACATTGATCAAAATTATAGAAGCTGAACTCCAACATATTGGTCTACATTAAAATCTTTTTAGAATCTCTTCAGACCAATATCATTTTAGAGGGAAGTGTCACATTCTATAGAGCACTAGAAAGACATGATAAATTAAAAGGAAACAACAAGAAAAACCCAGGAAACTTTATACACTATTCTTTGTCCCTCCACCTGATGGCTTCTGTGGCAGAAGCCAGTTGATGCCATTGTTCCAGGGTAGCACTGGCAGTGTCAGAACTGAAAAGAGCTCAACTCCCACTTCTTGCGGTAATCTAGATTAAAATGTCCCCAACAGACAGTTGCCTAGCCTCCTCTTGAACATTCAGTAATTGGTTCCATACTAAATTGTTCTTAAGATTTTTCCCTCCAACATTTAATTGGAATCAGTTTTCTAGTAACTTAAATCTAGGATTCTTTATACTGCAATCTAGTATGAGAGAGCGGGTTTGGCCTTCTGGTATACTTCTTCAGATACTATTGCATCTTCTGTAGTCTTTTCAGTTTAAGGCTAAACTTTCCCAGTTCCACCACTCTCTCTTTATAGGACTTAATTTTGGGTCTCCTGATCATCCTTGTTGCCCTTCCTTGAACCTGTTCCAGTTTGTTTGATCCAGTACTACAGGTAGGATCTGGCCAATAAAGAGGAACTATTACTTCCTCCGATCTGAAAACTATAAAGGCTAAAACAACATTTGACTTTTTAGATCAGCAGCAACAGCACATTACTGATTCATATTCAGTTCGTGATCAACCACCATGTCAAGGGGTTTTTTTACAAGTTAAACTGCTGAACCAGACATCTCCCATTGCATTAATGGAAGTGACAAAGCAGGCTGGAGGCATAAGTATGAAAGAGAACTGCTCCCCCCACATCCAGTCCTCTTGCTGTTACTACAAAAGCAGGAGAAGATATTCCAGAACTGATTTTTAAACCTTTAGAATTCAGTGATATACTAATATTGCAACAACAACAACAAAACTAAAGAGAGAAATTATATACAATATCAGAGTAAACAGCACAGATAGTTATAAACAACAGACAAGTCCTTTTGTTTTAAGGAAACAAACATTAAATAATCCTCATTTCCTTCTACCAAGGACAAATTAAAAACTAGGGTTAATTCTCATGCACAATCCTCTTTTTCAAACATGCCAGAATCTCTACAAAGATTCTTTGTCATAAGTTCATAATACACAAGGAACTTACCTCTAAGGGCACCAACTAACTCCAAAATCAACCTTAACAACTCTCACTATCTTTACACTTGACACGGCAGTCAACCCTTAAGTAATGTGAAACAGTTGTTTCAGCCTATAAGAAGCATTTCTTTTTCAAGCCAATCAAATCTCTGTAAGAGCTAAGGCCACACCTCATCAATTTATTTCTTTAAAAAAAACAACAACATCCATAGGGCTACTAAGCCATGTTCCTTTATTCTTTACTGCTCCCTTGTGGCCATAGGTGAATGTTTTTTCACTTCACAGGTAGGTTGAATTATTTTGCCTAACATGTACAGTATAATGCAAGACTGTGCATGAAGGAATAGGAGACTAAGTAATTGGAAATAGGCATGTCTGTGTACATGCAGAAGAAATTAAGACTGATGCTGCAATGTTGCTTGGCTTCCAACAATGGAGGCAATAGGAGAGACATAGGTGGCATTGCAGGGTGGGCTGGTTTTGTGCGATCCAGCCAGCCACTTAGTGGTGCCATCCTACTTTCAGCCCCGACACTGCTGCATGCAGTTCCCCAAACTCCAAGGAAATCAAACAGCGTTCAGTCCAAACTTAACGTATATGCATGTACCCTTCATGTGAAAACCAATTATGCAATAAAGAAATGCTCTGCAAAAAAGTCCTTAAACAGTTGGGGGTGGGGGAGGGTAAGCATGCATTACTCTTGACTGGATGCATGGTGCGGCAGCCATTTTGGTGGGTTCTTCTGTCTTTCTCCTGGGACTTGAGACTCAGATAGACTGGGATTATCTTGGCACCTAAGATCCCAAGGTAGCAACATCACATTATTGATTCATATTCAATTTGTGATCAACCACCATGTCAATATTTTTTTCACAAGTTAAATTGCTGAACCAGCAATTGCTGGATTGCTGAATTATGGGCTGCTGGGAGCCAGACGGAGAAGATCTGGACTGTCGAGGACTATTTTTTGGATGGTGTTTTGGGACGTGGGCTGGGTGAGGCTGGATCTGCCTACTGCCTTCAGGTGAGAAATGGAGATGGAAGGAGATTCTCCCTGCCTGGCCTGCTGAGTGTGAGGTTCCCCCTGCAGCTTGAGAGAGAGCAGGGTGGTTTGGGGTTAGGGAGAAAGTAGAGGGGGAGGGGGGAGTTTGGTAGTTGGATGAGGCAAGAGAAGTGCTGCCCAGATTCAGGTGCTGAAGATGCACCTATACCTGGTTGGGGCTTTTTTTTTAATCCATTCAATCATGTCTGATCCTTGGAAACTGCCTGGACAAGTCCCTGCAGTTATTTTAACAAGATTTTCCAGAAGTGGTTTGCCATTGCCTCCTTCCTAGGGCTGAGAGAAAGTGCCTAGGTGGGTCTAGAACTCACGGTCTCCCAGTTTCTAGCCTGATGCCTTAACCACTGCACCAAACTGGCTCTTGTTTATCTGTCCCATTTATTGGTGTTTGGTTGGATGGTTCCCTTTGGGTTGAGGCTGGGAGGATATGGTTGTGGGGGGAGGGGGGACAGCAGTTGGGTGATGAGAGAGGGAGAGGGCAGGGGAGAGTATTACAGTGGTGATGGGCATAGGGAAGTATGACAGGAGGCAGGGAATGGGCTACCCCCAGAGAAGGCAGCATCATACCTCGGTGTCTAAGACCAATACAGCATTCTAGCCTCCTACTGTACACTCCATCCCAAGACCTGGTTCCTGGAACTCCAGGGACTCTGGGGTCGAGCTGCTGCTACTTAACTCTAGGTTGGTCTATAAAGTTTACCTCATCCACAACCTGATAGTGGATGAGAGGGCCAACCTGGTGTGCATAACTGAAGCCTGGTTGGGTGCAGAGGGGTTATCCCCTTCTTGGAAATGTGCTTTCCTGGTTTTTGGGTGGGCAGGGGGGTGTCATGGCGAGCTCAGACGAGGAGACCAACAATGAGCAGCCTGCTCCTGAGTTACCATATGAACTACCGCCTGAGGACCTGCGTTGAGGTGGGGTTGTCTGGTAATCCATAGGAGCAGCTGCTGTTGGTCTCTGAAGATGAGAAGTCTGAGCTGCTGCCTCCACCCAGCACAAGGGCTTGCCATGTGGAGAAGACAGCAGAACAAAGGTGCTCTGCAAGGCTCCTTGCAAGAAAGGAGCTGAGCCCTCCTGTAATGAGAAACACCTCCACACTTAAGTAGAGCAGCAGACCTGAGCCTCTCCATTGGAAACAAGCATTTGCTAAGCCAGACTCTGTGTGCCTCAAATCTTGACTCTTGAATCCCATGACTTTGACTATAATCAATGAAGTACATTGTGACTTCTTTTTAGTATTCTTTGGCTTTCTCAATTATCCAGCACGCATCAGCAATAACATCTCATGTTCCTCAGCCTTTTCTAAAGCCAACTTGAACATTTGGTATCTCTTTTTCCATGTAGGGTTCTAATCTACATTGGATGATCCTAAGCGTTATTTTGCTAGCATGTGAAATTAAGGATATTGTATGATATTTTGTACACTCTGTTAAGTCTCCTTTTTTGATACTGGAATGTACATTGACCTTTTCCAATTGGTTGGCCACTGTGTCAGATTGCCTGGCATAACTTGGTTAGAATCTTGACTGATTCTTCTTCTGTTGCTTGCCATATTTCAGTGGGTATTCCATCAATTCCTGTAGCCTTCCAAATTGGTAATGACTAAAATGCTGATCTAACTACTTCTTCTAGTACTAGAGGTTCTTGTAAGTAGGGAATATCTTCTAAGTTATCTTGGATGTTGACATTTCTACTGTACAGTGTTTCAGTATACTCCTTCCATTTTCCTTTGATCTCCTTTGAATCGGTTACTATCTGTCCATTAGCATACTTTAACATACCAATTCAAAGATGGAACCCCCTCCTGAGTTCAGAGATCTTTTGAAAGACTTTCCATGTTTTTCCATGCCTGTTTCCATCTTCGATATCTTTACAGATGTTGTTCTAATACTGCTTCTTGTCTCTTCTAACAGCTCTCTGAACTCTTTGTTAAAAACTGGTTGAACCATGGCTATTGTACAAGTTGATGATTCTCTGCAAATTATCAAGCTTTTATTTGATAGAACACCACAACAAAAATGCAACCCAAAATACATTTCTCTAGGAGTTGCATACACTAGAGGTAGTGTGGATGTACTTTAAGCTGCAGTCACATTAATTGAACTGGAATATTAGCCTCTGCCCTCCCAAAAATCTGGGTTGCGAGAAGACATGTTCTATTTAGCAGGTTTACCCCTCCACCCCACCCGCAACAAAGAAAGCTCTAGTTATCACTCTTCCACCTCCATATATTTATACTGACCAGCTCAGCTCCGGATGTCTTGCTCAGCAGTTTTTTTCCCTCAGACGATGGTTCTGAAAAGAGAAGCCGGAAACAACATCTGGATCCTTGCCTATATTTCAACTGCATTAAAAGGAAATTGAAATAATGATATACCATAGGAACTCTTGTTGGGTTCCTTTCCAAATGACAAACTTTTTCCTCCAATCTTGAAATAATTGACATTTTTCTTTCCTGAGAGTATTTTCAGATGAGGCATTGACTTAGTAATCGCCACGCCTCCAACATGTAATTTTATGGATGATCCAGATATCAACATCTGTTTGCAGCCCTTCTTTCACTTTTATCTTATTTCCCTTGAGGAAAAAAAATCTGTTCAGGAGAAATAGGTGGAATAGCTGCATATTGATTTTTTATTATTAGAATCTTTCATTGCTTGTACAGGCAGTCCCCCAGTTAAGAACGTCTGAGTTACAGACAACTCATGCTTACGAATGGGCTGCCTGTTATGAAAAATGGTGGATGGTATTCTCCTACCTGGAGCTGATGAACCACTGAAGCCGCACAATGTTTTCATGAACCGCTGAAGCCACACGTTTTTAATATACAGCCTGTTTTCAGTGGTTTTCAGCAACTCATGAAAACATTGCAGGCTACAGCACTTCATCAGCTCCCTGAAGTAGAATGCCATCTGCCATTTTTAATAATAGACAGTCCGTTTGTAAGTACAAGTTCCGACTTACATACAAATTCAAGTTAAAGACAGGCTTAGGAATGGAACTTGTTCTTACCCCGGGGACTGCCTATATCTAATTGCAGCGCAAACATGCACCAGCAACCTCTTTTTTCTGCTGTGTCTTTATAACGTTGCCTTATTCCCAGCCCGTACAGATAGTCCTTGTTTAGTGAGCACAATTGGGACTGGCAACTCAGTTGTTAAGTGAAGCGGCAATTGTGCTTATGATCTTACTTCAGCTTTCCTCTGCTTTACAGACCTGCAAAGGTCGTAAATGGGAGGATTGGTCACAAAGTTACTTTTTCATCACCATCGTAAGTGCATACACTAAATGAGCAGTCACTAAATGAGGACTAACTGCACCTGAGTCAGCCTAAAGTTGTCATCCTTGTCTCAAAATTCACTGTACCAGTACTAATGTTTTCTCCCCATTCCAACACAGAAGTTGCCATGGATGCAATCTGACTTGGTTCACCAATCATACTGTTCATGGCACAGTTAAGCGACCCTCAGGGGTGAGATCAGCCTGCAGGCACATCATCTGCTTTCTGGTCTCTGACTTCCAGGGACATTTTATAATTAAATCTTCTTCTGTAGCCTCTAGGCCACCTACAACAGCTTCATTTTTTATTAAAAGTGGGATGAAAATAACAGGAATGGTAGATTCTTTGAAAAATATTAACGCTGCCAGATTTAAGCCAATTACCTTGAAGGGTATCAGCACAATGCATGTTTTTTTTAATTGCCCTTCCTTCTTTTAAGACCCAGATACTAAGCATGGAGAAAGGATTGCACAGTAGTCTATAATTTATCCAGCAAAAAACTTAAATTGTGTGGTCTTAGCAAATGCAGAAAGTATCCTTCTCCAACTTAATTTTTAAGAAAAAAAACTTTAAAAGGATAAAAAGCAATATCTTACTTTTCTGTTTGCTTTTCTGTGTGCCAGGCTCCTCATGAATTTAAAGAAATCCCAATGTTTTGCTACATCTGATCACTTTGGTTGAGGAGTGCCAGGAGGATTGGCCCATCTAAGTAGCAAACTTCCTCTTGCGGAAAAGTGCCTCACCTCTGGTTT